ATAGCACTACATATGTATATTCCAAGTGGCCAAACACGCATATAATATTAGCGTATTAAGATTTCATGGAGCTGATGTTAAATATTAATGAGGCACGCGGCGTGTTTGCCACGGCGTGTGGGTGTGTATAGTTCCTATCGCTGTCAGCGTATATAAACATTATCGGGTAATCTATGTAAGGCGAGAACTAACATGAGTGACGTACGTATCATGAAGAGAATGTACGAGAGATATAGAGAAAATATGAGAATGGAGAATGTACTTTCACGTGGTAATGTACGATGGTAGGATGGTCGACTCAAATGCCGCTTATTTTGAAGAGATTCTATGGCAAAACTACTTGAGAAATTTATTAATGGCGACGTCATAACCGTGTTTGCATTCTAATAAACACGACATAAATATGAATCGAATACTGTTTCACGTAATTGTTATTTCGTACAAACGTAATATTTAAGATTCATGCTAGGATTCTTACACTAATCATGAATTCACTGTGTACCCGTCATGTAATAATTAGACGATTAACAGGTGTGCCTGCTTTGCTCTATGAATACATTCTGATACACACCATAGAACGTAAAAATGCATTCAAGCACAATCGATGCATGGATACAATGACGCACTCCCGTTTTGCGAATTTTGCATATCGCAATTACGTATTATTATGCAAATGTGGAATAGCGACGGCGCAATAGGCATACGAGTAGCCTATTGTTTCCCAAGAACACTTGACCATCTACATTTTCGAGTGTATGCAACATAGAAATCTACGGCCCACAGCTTTGACGGTCTATAGCTTTTTATTTGAGTATGACTATACTTTTATAAGTGCATGAATGTATGTGAAATTTATACTGAATATTATGAAACGATGGTCATCATGAAACCACGAATGCAGTTAACATTGCATGTCTCGTTAATGTAACTGCTGAGGTGATTATAGTTCGGTGGTTATTGGGGTTCGTGTGCAAATTGCGCCGCTGCGAACATGATATTTAACTTATTACTGCAGGTTTGTGTCGACGCAATTGTAACACACGGCATTCGCACAGTGTGTAGTGCGCCGTTGTAAAGCGGTTCCACGTTTCTGTGCTATATGTCACATATGCGTGTATTGCAAAAACAATGCAGTAGATGTAGTACTTTAGATGCACTAAGAGATGTATTTTATATGGATCAACGCATTTATTATTCGGTTAGTGCTGAAATTATGGCCCTTCTTAAAATGGTGGGGTGGAGGAAGGGGATGTAGAGTTGGAAATAACAAATATATATATATTGTAGACACGAGGTTTGCATTAATTAAATCAGTTAATCATTTTTATAACTCCGGTCCCGTCACAAGAGAAGAAGTGTAGACAGTGCCACAAAGAATAGATTTATTCAGGAAAGCTCCTGCAGTTAATAGAGATACACGTACTACGGTACACGGAGAAGTACTGAAGAATTATACACAGTGCGAGTGCAATTTACACAGCTAAAAGATACTACGTTTAGAAATATAGGAAGTTAACGCACGTACTAAAAGATAGCTCACTACGATAGAACAAATGAGAATGCAAGACAGTTATAGGTCCATAGTAGCATAGATCTATAGTGGCATGAACCTTAAGCCATTAGATAAGAAGACTTACATACTCACAGACTGGTAACAAATGCACGTCGCAGCACTGACAATGTTAGCACTCAACTCAAACTCAAAACACAACTGACTGTGCTCGCTCGACTGTCCCATATATACACGCTTAAATTAGCAGCCACGAACCCTCCCTCCAAACAAGGAAACATCCCTGGACACGAAACTTAACCAGCAGATGTCGATTTAGACTCCTATGCACACGATCGGTTTATGTGGGTAACTGACCAGGCCACCCCTTACAAGGGTGCGACGTTCGCTCGTCTATAAACGAGTCTTCCTCTATTGTGTCGACGCCTCCTCCCGGGGAGAGTCGGAACCCGAGTTCGTGCTAACTGTGTGTACAACAATCTTGCCACACCCACGCACAAACAACAACATTAGCAGCCGCCTTGCCTGAGCGAAACTGCCGTAGACTCCATTTCACACATCCCATCCGACTCGTCAATCTATCCTCGTTTACAAGAATCAATCTGCTGGCCAATAATCTTAACGGAGTTATAAAAATGATTAACTGATTTAATTAATGCAAACCTCGTGTCTACAATATATGTGTTAAAATTTGCACACATACTGACTGCATCCACCATCATCAAACGTTCGCTAATTCTAAAGTTTCATGACGCGTTATAAAGCTGCACACAGGATGACACCCAATGACATACCGCGGGTTCGTAGCATGGAACTAATTCATCTTTCTGCAAGTATGAACACTACGGAATTTGAGCGCGGGCTTTCCTGAGCAAACGCAACTTGTATTCGCTAATTAGGTTATGATTTACGACAAAGAACGCAATAATGACTAACTTATTTTACGCGTTCTCTTAAGCGCAAAATCGGTTTCGGACGATAAAACATGTACGGCCGCTAACAAAATATATTCAGACCGAGTTTCCATCAGATCGGGGTAAATGGACGAGGAGCAGGCGTCATTGGCTATATAGCTTATTTCTTCTCGCGTGATCCTGAAAGCTCGATTATGGACGAAACACGCACGCGTGAAAGCAACCTTTGCAAGCTGCGTTTATCTAAAACTTCGATACAATTGTTTCTGCTAAGCACAGACGCTGCACAGGCGCGCGCGTATATAGGAGAAAATGCGCGCGTTGGATGCACAGGTTGGTAAGGGGGCACTCATGACGTATTAATTCGTTCTCGCATTCCATCGAGCTTTCGCAGTAGTCGTCATGCAAATTAAGTAAACTTTGTGGGGTTTCGGCTTACGGGGTTTCACATTCGCTCGGGACCATAATGGCGTGGCGCGCTATAACGTCGCGCAAAAGCGGGTATTTTTCATACAGGTGCTTTTTTCTCGCCGCCGCAACTTTTCACATCCTTTCATCACAACGACGGAGCGAGGGCTTCCATTAGGCAATTTCTTTATGGACGCGGCTTATCCGACAGCGGGCTACGTCTGCAAGAACCCCACCGCCTGCGATTCCTCTAACTTAAAACTGCGTGTATGCGACTTCTAACATTTACTAGCTTTCATTTTCTGTATTCTAGCCTCTAGACATAAACCGATCTATGTTATTATTCTTGTATTACCGTCCCTTCCTACCTGGTTAGGTGGGTAGTTAGTGATCTTCACCTCGTCTTTGACTTAAACCTATAACTGTCTTGTGTCTGTCTTGTGGCATGGTCTGTGTCTCTTCCCATAAACGCTCTCATCTCTTTCATCTCGGTTAACACTGCCCGTCCCTATGTTCTCTGCGGCTTTTTTTCGTTTGCGCATTCCTGTTGGTATTTATCTAAAAGCCACCCTGTGTATCCTCTCTTGAGCCACTCTAGGCACATTAGCGAGCCACCCGATCCTGCGCATCTTGCCCACAAGTAACATGTTCTTGCGTCCCTAGTTAGGAGTTAAATATTTAATAAAATCTTCTTGAATTAATGTTATTCGTTTATGAAAAATAACGCCTATATAAACTGGTTGGAATAGAGGTAGATTGCGACCATCTAAGAGAATAAACTACCCTTAATTTTGTAGAGAAGACGTAATCGAATCGAATCGCCCGTGTGTATGGGCAGCAATACCTTTAAATTTGACGTTAATTAGTTCTGAGAAAACATGAAGAATAGTAAGAACGAATTTCAATCCATCAATTATATTTCAAATTCCCATTCAGAATCGCAAGGTATGATATAGAAAGTGTAGCAATGAAAGTGCAAAATACCAAAATACCAAACAACGGCGAGTTATACTCTCATGATGGGATCACACCATACCTGATATTTTAAACAAATGTAAAACACTAATTAGAGCTGCTAGCGTTAGATCCCGTACGTGTAATATATAGATTAGAACTCGCACGTACATATATAGATATTTTCTGGTGCTAGCCACGTGACTCAGGAGACTCATCTGCTAAATGATTTATAAGTCAAAATCTCTAACCGTGAAAACCTGGCCTTTCTCGCAACCTCGTAAGAACTGTCTCGTTCCGCCGGGCTGGAAAGCTACCTGAACAACCGAGAACGCTCTGCGATGTTTTCCATCTATGCTCACGCGCTCCTGCCGCGACTTCGCAAGACATTTCGGGCCGCTTACGTGCACCTCTGCGCCACCAATGACGCCACAACGCGCAGCTATATCAAAATTAATGTCGCGGCCTTAGGTTCTCCGTTGCTCCGAGGATATTAGAAGGAACTTGCGTGCGACGGTTAATAGAGAGAAACGAACAGGAAAGTGTCGAAACTGATCGCTGGTTAGAAATAGCAATCGCGTCAGTTTCTCGATGTCGTAGAATACAGAGGTAACTTTTCCCCGATTGGGAATTACTTCAGAATTCAATTGACAACGCGAGCAAACTCATCGCGCTTCCGCTGCCACCGCTGCATCCACTACTATCACCGCAGTACATCATTGACGAAATCACACAATTTCAGCTCTAATTAGGCTCGGTTTCTAGCAAATGATGCGGGTATTAGATATAGTGCAGGGCATTAATATTCACTATATCTGATAAATGTCGTGTGCGGATTGCCGTGTACAGTCGTTTATTCCTGGTTCATTGCTAACAGGACACCAAGCACGAATTTAGTCGCAGTTTTGAAGAATGCTACTGCAGTAGATCCACACGCCGTGCAGTAAGTGCAGCTTTTGTCAGCATGCTCGTAGCTTTTATACTATAGGTTTTATGTGAATGGTTACATTCTCTCTATTTTTACATGTGTCTCGACTACACAGGGCATTCAAGCAAATGATGATAGGCATTCTACTTCTACAGCTTATCGCAGTCAAATCGAACGAGTCAGATTGCGAGGGTGTGCGACCGACTTTAGCAGCGCTCGTAGATTAAACGTCTGGCAATATATGGATTGTTGTGAATGCTGTCCTTCTTGCTATTTTCGCGCGTCTACAATTTAGTCCACAGAATAGATCAATTAGCACACGGTGTATGCCCGGAGTAGTCGGTGTCCCCTTTCACCGTGATCTTGTAAGTAATGCGATAATTTGCCCTTGAACATTTTTTTTAATTAACCCGAATGGGTTAAGTTGTACTGATGCGAAAAAAACGTTTCGAATGATATTAGTCGCCACTATTTTGTGCACAATAGCTGTGATTAGCACTCTCAATTACTCTCGCAATTACGGGTAATGCGTGCCAAAAAACATACAGATTTTCCCACTTTCAGAAGATAATTCACGATGCGTTATCGAATTAGTCGATCGATATAAAAAATTGAAAATTGCGAAACGTCGGAGCGCAGTGAAAGCTGCGTAGCTGCTGTGAAAACTCGTAAACTTCCCACTTGCATGAGGCACGCTAAAGATGGCTGCGCCCGATGGGATACGAACGCCTTACGGGATACGTAAAAAGACAGGGCGGCAATTTGCCTCGAGGACCCAAGCATTGAATGTTAAACGGTATTTCATTGGTCACATTGTAAACATGATGAAAGCTAAGTGCTGATTCGCTGTACATAAAGTCGCAGCTCACATTTCGCATTTCGCATCTCGCATTTCGCATTTCGCATTTCGCATGAGCCTTTTGGGCTTTTGTAATTCAGCGAAGGAACTGGCAATATGAACACGGACTATCTGATGTTATTACGAACGCGACGATTAAACCAATAAAATGTGTCATATCTTTTTATGTAACGGCTAGTTGATAATCATATGCGCAAATTGAATGTGCGATCAAACATTAACGCCGCCATCTTTGGGAAACATGCATAGTATAATAAACAGGCCGCAAGGAAATGCCACGTAAGCCTATGTAGGCCCTAACGTATAAAACAATACGTTAACTTGCGGAGACACGCGTCCGTAACCATAAATTCAAAACGTTTCGGATTCTGGAAGGAACCTTTTACAGAATGAAATCACTATCGTTTCAACACGGTCTAAATACGTTTGATAATAAAATTCGATGTTGTTTCAGGCCATCTAACAACAGATATGATGAGATGATAGAATCATTGTTTTGAATTTCAATTAATTCGGTGTGAGATGTGAAGGAATAATAACTGATTAACCGCCGCTACTGGGTCGTTGACGGTAATACGCTTCATTAATTGAGCTAGCTGACGTTGGGGTAGCAAACGGGTGTGCGTAGCAACTCGGTGTAGACGATTGTGAGGGGACTCCGTGAGAATAATGATGAATCAGCACCATTAATCGATGTGCTACCTTCCGTTATATCTCGTGGATCGTGAAGTCTTCCTTTATGAATTATGACGATTTTACGTATTCGTCGTGAGCATCGTCGTAGCTCGTACACACTAACGCATTGTTAACGCCAAAAGCCCAACTAATTTATGACAGCTGCTTTGTCTGCAGCGATAGGTTATATATTCTATATACACAGTATATTTATAAGTTATTATATATATATATATATAATTTTATAAATATATATATATATATATATATAATTTTATAAATATATATATATATTTATATATAATTTATAAATAAATAAATAAATAAATAAATAAATATATATATATATATATATCCTGATATATATATATACAACTATAAGAAACCATTTTAATTTCAATATCATGATGAATTACTATTTTTTTATTAATCTGTCATCGGTCGATAATTGATTAGTTTATAATTGTTTGATTATTTTGTCTGAGCCATAATTAATCAACCTGAAGAATAAACAACCTCTTTTGATATGTGCGAATTATAAAATAACAATTCGGGAGCATTACCTAACCATTTAATATAAATTAGTGTTAACGGGTTTAATTGCGTTTTTTAACCATCTTGCGTTCTTTTTGCCATCAATCAACCTACATAACAAGCAAACCTCCTCTGCAATTTTGTGTTTAATTCTAAAATGGCAGTTCAGCCGTTTTTTGTCGAATTATTTGTTGTTAGCCATCATTAATCAAACGCGAATAACAAAGGCCTCATTTGAGTCCGCTAACGATAGAATAATAGTACGGCAGTTTTGTCTATGAACTGCTTCACTACTTTGCCTATGTAACACAGCCGTGATGATGGAGTCGCGTTGACGCGAATTCCCTGATTTTTACATTGCTAAAGTTAAATGATTCACATTTCATGCAAAAAGCTGGCACAAAATGTATACATACATAACGGTTACTTAATTTTTGCAGTAATTTAATCATCTATGTGCTGGTACTTAATAATAAGGAAAAATGTAAGTATTCTGCTTAATTCCTACGTAAGATTACTTAATTCCTAATTATGCGTGGCGATAATAATTATAGTGAGCAGTGAGTGATAGTGATTACGTCGTACGTTTAGTTACTTTTCTTCCGGCAGTCAAACTAATTACAGTTCCCTTGAACATGGGAATTTCATCTTCAACGAGAAGATAATTGCGTATCGTTATGTGAATTACTAGTTACAACGTATGTTGATATGGGATCGATCTCGTATCATGTCTCGCACCATGTCACTGATCGATATTCGATGGTATTTGGTATCGGAGCGCCTGAAAAATATTAGCTACTTAATATCAGATAATCATTATCAACTACTCGTCATAAGGTACTCAGTACCAGATATTCAGGGTCAGCAGTAAAATACGCCTGATGCATCGGTCGTCTAGCAAATGCATAAACATATCTAATATACGAACCACGAATATCGACTCGTTTATAGCTGTCAGCGCCATCTATTATTGCATACCATGATACACATTTACTACACACAAGCAGTTGTCTATTTGCACCTACGCTACCCAAATTCAATATATTGTTAAAGCTGAGCTAGTGTTTTTCTGTAAACATATTACGTGTTTACTTTTTAAGAACGTAATTTTTGTAGTAGCTCAAGCTGGATAATATCAAAAGTACATAATAGAGATCTCTATTATGTACTCTTGGTAATATCAAATGATGAATAAAAGTATGAGTTCACGCTTAATTTTTAAAGCTGTTGGAAGTTAGAAACTGTTGTAGGAGGCTTGACTAGTCTTTAGACGGCACGCATGCAAGTCAGCTATAGTTAGTGAGGGAATAGGGCAAAACGAATATATCTTTGGAGTATGTGTGTATGAGTTTTATTGTTTTATTTATCAACGGTACACCTTGAGCTGACAAGCTTTATATTACTAAGAAATTCACGGAATTTCCGCGCCACAAATTTTATTCTTGATAAATGGCTATGCTTTTAAAGTGCATGCGCCTAGTATAGAACATTAGCCGCGTTCACACGTAGCAAGAAATTCGGTATTTATCGTTCACACGAGGCAAAATGCGCGGTCCAAGAAATACGGTATCTAAACAGATCCGGTATTTGTTGAAATACGCGGCTTTCCAGACCCCGAATAATTTGCCGTGCTTGAGAAATACCGGATCTCTTAGACCGCGCATTTCCTCGTGTGAACGCTAATACCATATTAACCGCTAAATACCGCTAGAACCGCTAAATACCATATTTCTGAAGCCGCGTATTTTATAGACTGGTCCGCGCTCGACAGTTCCAGTGTAACGCGAGTGGAACTGTCGAGCGCGGACCAGTCTACGTATTTTATCGGCAGTTGGTGCGCATTGCATTGTTTATTTCGCATTGTTCGCTTGATTGTTTAAAGCAGCTCGCAGCTCGCAAATACGGCATTTCTGGAGCCGCGAATCAGCGTGTGAACGCTCGGCCGCGTATTTGCCTCAGATTCGGTATTTCGCAAATACCGTATTTCATAAATACGAGGTCTCGTGTGAACGAGGCTAATAATTGGACTATTTATTATTTCTAAACATCTATAAAATCAAATATCTAATCTAGCATGAAGCTTACATATGCAAAACAGAACAATACATTCTACTGCAGGTTATAAAACAATTAATACTTGGTGATATCTCTCATGTAGAAAGTGAATTATCGCAGTCGTGGCTTCTCTAAGCAGTTATACAAGGTACAACTAATTCAATTATCTTTGGTGATATCTGCACTTCGAATCAGAGTTATGCTTCTGTGATGTGTTTATTCGCAGCGAATACTGTTTCGCATACCGGTCTCCCTAGCGCGTGAGTTCATGTGAGTGTCCACCATCGATATCTCCAGCGCCCGCTAGCTTGCATTCATGAGCAGAAAATCTACATGTTCACATTAGACCTGCGCCAGCAGTTAATCAAAACCAGTGTCATAACGAGCAGCTGCTATCCGTATAATCGATTATTTTATTAATCATATTCAACGATTTATAAATAATTTATTACAATTTATTGAAAACGTTAATTAATATATTTCTCTTTAAGACAAAGCGAACGTAAATCGCCATCCGTCGTAATCGCACATGCTCGGTTCGCAATAATTCACGGCTTGTGGGCTAATCTACGCGTTAAAGCAATACACGATCGAGAGTATTAACTAGAAAGCCTTGCGTCAAACGAATGCGCAATATATTAGTCATTCACGGCACATTACATATACTATGGTACTGCCCGGCACATATACTATCGATAGCCATGGTTTCCTCGCATTGAACGACACACGCCTACGACGGCGGGATAAAATGCAAGCCGTCGCTATATCATTTTACCGGCGAACTTCCCAATTTTATTGCGAATTTCAACCGCAAATGTTAGCAATTTGGGTTGTGCTCGACGCTGCGTTGATCTGCCGCCGGAGCGTGTGTGAAGCCGGGTGACCGGCACTGGGGGCTAGGGGCTGTGGGCCCTGGGCGCTGGGCGCTGGGGACTGGGGACGGCCCTCAGGACCCTGGGCCACACAGCGCGTAACTACGTAATATATAGGCTATTGTGAAGGGCATACACTCGAAGGTCATTCAACGTAGTTCTCTCGGCTAAGAACTGTGAGAGTTAAGAGTGTGTGCGCTATTACAGATCCATATGTCAATGACGGTCTATACTTTGTAAAGGAGTGCGCGCGCGTCACGCGCGTGATTCTAGCGGTGTCTCATTCCAATACCGATGCCCCGTTCGCTACTGTACGTCGGTGAGGCATTAGCTCACATCGTGAAATTCGATGTTTGAGCAGTGTTGGTTTTGGCCGTGCGCCTGCAGATGAGAGAAATTTGATCGGAGTCTTAATTGTTGACAGCGATGTCTCATCATAAAATCAATGAGTGACACTAGGCGGTGGCTGCCACCGCTATTCATGCGATAACTGCGTGTGTGCGTGCATGTGTATGTGCGTGTTGTGTGTGCGCGCGTGTATTTAAACATGTGGGTGTGCGTGCGCGCGCATGTGTGTGTCTGTCTGTCTGCCTGCCTGTCTGCCTGTCTGTCTGCCTGCTTGTCTATCCGTCCGTCCGTCCGTCCGTCCGTCCGTCCGTCCGTCCGTCCGTCCGTCCGTCCGTCCGTCCGTCCGTCCGTCCGTCCGTCCGTCCGTCCGTGCCGTCGTCGTACTGTGGCGTCCGTCCGTGCCGTCAGTCCGTTCGTTCGTTCGTCGTCCGTCCGTCCGCCGTCCGTCGTACTGTCTGTCTGTCTGTCTGTCTGTCTGTCTGTCTGTCTGTCTGTCTGTCTGTCTGTCTGTCTGTCTGTCTGTCTGTCTGTCTGTCTGTCTGTCTGTCTGTCTGTCTGTCTGTCTGTCTGTCTGTCTGTCTGTTTGTCTGTCCGTTTGCGTGCCTGCCTGCCTGCCTTATGTGTCTGTGCATGCGTGAGCACTATAGTTCGTTGCGCGCTAAATAACTAGACAAAAAAACAGAAATAAGCCAAAAGAGAAACTAACTATCAGAAAAAAATGTAATGCGGGTTAGTGTAGCGAATCCAAAAGAGATTACGAACCGCGCCGGAGTTTTCACACGGTCTTCTTTCAGCGATCACATTTCTCCGTGTGACGATTGCTTCTCCATTGCAGAGTGGCAACTGGTTTTGAGCGGTTGGACCGAGTCATGGAGAACTACGACAACCGACTTTACCCTACCTACGACGAGCACGGTAATAGCGGCCGTAAGCCGTGTCCGTTACCATTCTGTCACGCCGTGTAGCGTAGCAACCGAACTGTGGGTATGGTCGTCGACTCACCGTGTAAATAGTCCTCGAATTGTTAAATCAGGCGACTCTTTTGGCATGCGTTTTTCTGATTCGCTTCTTCGCGATTTCTTTCGTCAGTATTCTGCGAATTGTAGAGTGGGAATTTTTCCACTGTGAGAAGTAACTCTCCTGTTGTTGAAAGACGGACGTAAATACGGAACCTACAGTAGATTTTGTTTAGCGCAAATGATGTGTGCCTATACACCATAGCTAATTGTAGCCCAAAATGTAGCCGATAAGTTTGTATTGTTGCATGTGAAGGCACTAGAGTACTGCTATTCTGTATATGCGCAATCGGACTATTTATGGCTGAAGTAATGCTCAGACATTTAAGATTAGACGATAATGCTCAATATGCTCTTAAACGTATAACGTTATAGTATTTAAATATGGCCGCTAAACTCTAACACAAATGCATGCTGTTGGGTGTAGTACACGGGATCTGGTGCGCGAAATTCTGTTGTTGTTGCTACGTTTCACAAAGTATACCGCTTTATGTTGTCTGCACGCAACGTAGTGCGTGAGGAAACTATATTCTACATCGGGACTGATCTAAACTGCGGTTATCGGCGGGCGTTTATCTTAAGCGACGTTGAACTGTTCAGACCGATGCACATAATAAGCTGTAGTCATAATCAGACCGCAAGACATCAGTGTGAAATAACCGGCAACGTCCCTGGATTTCCCGAACTAACATGAGATAAATAATTGTCAATCTGCACGCATGTCGCATGTTGTATGATTTCTTTGGCAGTCTGTAGTCCCGAGAACACATATGCAGAGCATGATAGATAGTCATGTCTTACACCCGTTAGATCTGTGTATGTTCCCTGCTTCGTAGAGCTAATAGATCTACACATTTGAACACTATGTTGCACGCTTGGTGTCGTGAGTGTGAATGCGCGCGCATGTTTCGTTTCAAATAAGTTGACTGTCACGTTTTGATGTTGATATGAGGTGCTTTAATCAATGATCCATTATTGGTCCAAGATCACATCCTTGATCGTACCAAGTGAAACGGATATATACTGACAACTTTGACATGCATTAACTCGCAGCCAATGATATTTCTCGGACATATAACCTTGATCATCATCAGTTTATTTCAATATACTTATTATACACGAGTAACACCCATGTGTTAATATGATGTCTTTTACTGTTCTAAATGCCCCCTATGCGGTAGATGTACGCAAATAATAGTTTCCTTTGTGAATACTTTCGTGGCAGTTAACATCAGCTCAAATAACTAGAAGCTAGAGAGGTTTTATGAACCGCTGGCCTGGTTTTAAATATATCATATGTATCCCCGATGAACATTTAGTTTCCCCGGCTGAAAGGTTTATGCTAGATTGTAAGCTCGGCTAAAACTCAATTAAAATTGCTCATTCTGCTGCGGATTAGCACATTTCAAATAGAGGCAATTGTCGTGGTGATGGCCACAGTTTATTATGCATTCCTGCTATAAAGATAGCGCTGAAAGCTATAAACCGAACAAATAGCTGCTCCACTCATTTGATATTGTCATCGATTCCACCGTCATCGTCGTATGACAGCGACGCTAAAGTAAAAATTTGCTAAACTAATGCACCGCTCGCAGAACGAAGGCGAAAGGTTATAACTGGTATTCAATACAATGTGACGCAATAGAAAGTTAACGCAATACTGCATCCGCGCTTCTATATTTAATATTGTATCGTTATATTATTTAATAATTAAATATTATTTAACTGAGTGAGACATATGACCATATAACTTACGAAAACGCAGTCAGCAGAGGAGCAAAGGTCTGAAGGTTTTTTCACAGGAACATTCATAAACTGTTCAGAATTTTAGTAGTCTAAAAAAGGAATTTTCGAAAGTAACTATTCCGACCGGCATAGAAATATGTATAAATATTATATGTAGTTTAGCTATGCTAATTACGCAATGAAACTCCGTGCGAATGTTCTGTAAGATATGATGTCACTATTTGGCAGACGTGTTCGACCTTTGTGTTCAGGTAAATCGCCAGCGATCATTACGGGTCGAATTGTCGTGTATCTGGTATGTGAATGTTCGAAATAAATGTGTCGAATTGTCGGTGAAAAAGACGTGGCGCAACTTACCCAAATATTTCGGACGTGGTTTCGGTGACGAATGCTTAGGTCCGCGATATTAACGGATACGTAAGCGTGTCGAATTGACGCATACCATATATATATATATAGTATATCACAATCAACATATAGCATATAGCATCTTTCAAAACAGTTCGCACAATATTGAGGTGTATTTATCTTGGCGCACGTCACGCAAAATGGCGTGCGAATTCCTTGCAAACACAAGTGACGCATTCATCGGAATGTGTCGACCTTGATATGTCACGACATTGCGTAAGTTAGCGGGTTACGCGCGCAGTGTGGGTTGACAGGTAGGGATCACACTATCGGATTTGCTTCATTGTAAACCCGAAGGTCGCGAGTGGAATGTAGGACGTAAATGTTTCGCTCTCGTATTCTGGCGAGGAACGGATAGGTAAGCGCGGTGGGTGGTTTATGTGTTCCGCTACACGAAGGACATTAGCGTATCGTGTGCCACAAGCAAAAAGGCGTCCGTGTTTTAAATGCAAGCTTTCCTGCAATATTGATCGATAGCACAAGATGTGTTCGCGTGATGTGATTTAGCGTGGTACTTTTGTTACGTTCGTTGTGCCATATATAATATACGTGTGGAAGATTTAGTGCATGTGCATGCTCGTACATTGATGTCAAAACCTGCATCTGTGCGCATGTGTAACATGGCGTCTTTGTAAAGGTTTCGCTTCGTTAAGATAGGATATACGTAAAGCGACGCGCATTATCGAGTCACTGCTTAGTTACATTAAAACATGTCCTGCGTTTAAGTTCTTGCGTGCACGAACCAGAATCCCACACTCGTTCCCATAATTTACAATCTAAAGGGTTTAAACCCTTGGGTTCAAACAATCAATACCATTTCTGATAACAATGAAAACGAGATGCTTGTGTCAGGACTGCGTGTTTCGAGCAGTCACATACGAATACCAGTATTCGATATTAAGAGATAAGTGCAACGTTTGAGCTTTACCGCGATTTTATACAGAACGTTATGTAATAAGAGATGTTACATCAACTGATATTGCGTTACCTACACATATATATACATGTGGGCATGACTCTTTTTAGCCTGTAAACCGCGTGTCATTTGATCGCTCAATTCGCACCACCTGGTGACAATACTTAAACAGTAAAGTCGCCAAAATTCTATGTGGTATTCGCGCATATTCACTTACATGGGAAGCAGCTGTCTCTCCGCAAACATTCTAATACTTGCGCTGGCATTGTGTACGGCGTAGGGGTAGTGTAAGGAATTAGGGGAATCGACTGGTAGGAAAACTCGATAGATCCCATAAATAGAGTACATACAGCATTACTATACCTAAGAATGCATTCAAATAATTATCTTATGTGTAAGCTGCCCTTATTATGATTGACGCCTCGGTGATCGGCGGGCGCCCTCTCGTGATTCTTCATTGTGCTGCCGTCTTCTTAAAGATCAGCAAAAGGCGTGATACTCACTGGGCGTCATTTCTCAGGCGAATAATTATTATTTTCATTTGGTGCAGGCCCTACAACAAGAGTCAGCGAGATCTGATCCATGTGCACATGTACATGTTTCCTCCCTCTCCGGCGGGAGATCGCTATGCCAGCGATATACTGCATGATACCTATATTACTATAGATGTTACGCTTCAGCACCGTGTAAAAGCTCGTATAGACGACCGGTGTCTTCCTCAAATTATTTGTTGATGTTGTTGTTATTATGATTGCGTGTTGTCGGATAATGCATGCGCGCGTATAGGTTGCGCGTGTACTAGTGGTATACGTGTGTCGTAGGTTATAGAATCTGTGCAGCTGTGCAAGACTGTGATACCCGTCTCTCCCGTTGCAGATGGCGCGCCCACCTTCGTAAATTGCTCGTTACACATCCTCAGTTTCAGCTCGATAAGTGCATCGTCGATGGTAGGTGCAACCCGTGGCGTCTCAGACGAAATAGCGGTACTTCACACTGTCATTATACTCACCACGTCGCTCGTACCTGGTTTGCTCGTTGCTGCCGCCACCCACTACCCCGACCATCAACCGCCCCCTCACACACATCCCGTCAGTCCGTGTGCTAGTACGATTTTACAAGAAGTTATAGCGGGTCTCCACTCGTTGTGTTCCGACAAATACGAGCCAACTACGATTAATACGTTCCGATTTCTCACGGCCGCAACGTGAATGCGAAAAAATAATTCGCAGGACTAACAATAATGGTGATGTTTATGATGATGCTAATAATAATAATAATAATAATAATAATAATAATAATAATAATAATAATATAACAACAAGAAAAACTATAACTCGATCGATGAGGAGGAGGACAGAATAAAAAGAAGCCGAACGACTAAGATAACGATAATAATAGCTATAGAAATAGCAACAACAATAGCAATAACAATATTAATAATTGTACTGCCTGCGTGGAGTGGAACCGATACGATGCATTCAGATGAAAGCATACATGTTTCGCGAGAGGAGCGGCGTGCCGTGTGCAAGATTTACGGCAAATTGCCGTCGTTAGTGTTTCACGGAAAATTGCTTCCCAACACTACGGTATTATGATTGCCATTAAACATTCCTAATGTCATTCCCATGACGCTTTAATAACATTTAGCGAATGTACACGCTAATGCGACTATCGGATTATAGCCATCCAAGGTCTTTATATAATAATCAATATCATGCCGCATTCACTCGGAGTTTTTTATTCAGTCCCTATCTGATCGGGCAGTTATTTTTTATAGATGGGAGCCCATATTAACGTTCGCGGTCGTTATTGCGTAAGGAAGATCATTGCGATTTTAGATGATGCTTCAAGCTGCCTAGGTCACAAGTTATCTAATCGTTTTTGGCAAATTACACGTTTTTGTTGCGCATTTAAGCGTCAAATATAGGTAATCATTATGAAAACTCATTTAGATCATCAAAAACACCAGATAGAAATTGCCTGGGGCAGTTAAAAATATTAAAATATATTTAAGCCTTGGATAGTTTCACTCTTTTTATATGAAAATAGCTGACGGTCGTTAAATTCGCCACTGCACATGTCGCGAGTAAACTGGTAGATAAACGAAAACATTTCCAATAGCTGCATCATTTTAATTCCGTACATAACAGAAATGGACGTTTTAATTACAAAAAGCAACACGTTTTAAAGAACACTGCGCCCATTTATAGGTTACCACTAATTAAAAAAAAATAGCGCGGCTTCTAGTCATTTACTAAGTGGTAAGTAGGCGATAAGAGACAAACTCATGAACGCACAGTAACCATTTCAAGGACGGCCTTTAAAATTACATTTATCGTCGATCCCAAGAGCGTACATCTAGCTTAAGTTCCTCTAGCGTATACTTGTTTTGTAAAGTACTTACGTGCTTCACGCGCGATTATAAAGACACTATAGCTGTCACTGAAAGAAAGGATAAAAAAATATGCTTAGAGATTCCTGCCGTCCTCCCGTTTAATCCTATAACATGGAAGCTTAACAAATTCGTTGGAAACACCGGTAGCGCGTCAGTAAACCATCTTAATTGAATTTTGCGGTAATTTAATCGAATTATTCTTAATTGCGACAGTTAAAGCAGATTGTTTAGCAGCTGAATCACGTGATGCACTAGAAGGCGTAGCCTACACGCAGGGCAACTTGTGTCTTCACTTCAGTTCTCTCTCTCCCACACTCACACACACACACACACGCACGCACACACACACACACGCACGCACGCACGCACGCACGCACGCACGCACGCAAGCACACACACACACACACACACACACACACACACTGTTAAAGATGGGCAAGAGTCGTGATTTTGGCGGAACGAGAGTGGTTTGCCGTGACAGCTCCTTGGGCGTCCACTGCAAACTTCAGTTTTTGCTTGTAGAAATCTATTCACGCATCTCCTTATTTGCTTTCAGTCTCTACACGTTTGCATTTGTTAACACTCACTAACTACTCTGTTACGATGCGTTATAGGTGCACGTGCTCATTGCTGAACTCATGTGCTACCATCTCACAACTCATCAGTATAGGACAATTAATACGTTAGTTTTAGCTTTCAGCAATTCACGAAGTATCATGAAATGTTCACTCTTGCTCTGTCTCTTTCTCTCGCGAATTATTTTGTATTTATTTTACCTGAATTTCTTTTTCAGAGGTAACAATCGTCACAGTCAGTTTTCACATACTTAGCGTATCATCGATCGGAGCTGAAACCATGGTAAATGGCGTAGGCTCCTCTCACTCCCCCCCCCCTCTCTTGCTCTATCGCTTTTTCTCCACCTCTCTCCATCTCTCGTAATCTTGTTCTCGTCCTCCCTACCCTTTTCTCTCTCTTCTCCCCCCTCTCTCTCTCTTTATCTCTCTCTCTCTCTCTCTTTCTCTCCCTTTCGCAGTCTCTCTCGCTCTCTGTGTCTCTTGTTTTTTTCTTTTTCTCTCTTATTCTTTCTCTCGTTCTTCTTATCCGTATCTGTTTTCTTCAATTTACCTTTCGCTCTCACTTTGTCTTGCCCTCGCATTCGCTCGTTTGCTATTTCTCTCTTTCTCTCGTTACAGTCGGATAGCTCTAGCGAGCCTCTTCGTTTAACCGGAAAATTACTTATCAATAGTGTCCGATGAAACGGCTTTATTATGGTATATTTCGTGTCGTTAACTGTGAAATCTTAAAGACGTTTTTAAGTGCCAGAGGCCGCAGCAACTACAAATTCGATGTAAGCGCTCGCTCAACAGCTTATAACAACCAGATCATGAAGCTTCTACTTATATATATCCACAACCTAATAAAAATAACCTTGGTCGAAATTCAGTCCTCTGGTTTTTACTCGGAGTCGCAATTCCCAGACGGCAAAATGATGGGGTGTTTTTACGAAGCCGATGCAGGCAGGTGTCTCCTGAATGATCCGAAGTATTATAGATATAGAAGAAACGGTTCGTTGCCTATTCGCGCTCCGTATATAATCATGGTCGCAGTGCTCACAGCTGTCTGCGTACGGTGATCAAAGGCTGCCGATAGCTGACGAGACATCACACGCGTCAATCACTCGTGACGGAGAAAAGTTTTTGATGTTATATATGCAACCTGCGCTTCTCAGTGTATGTAGAGTGTAGAGTGTAGAGTGTAGTTCATCTTCTGCGCGAGCTTTCCTAAGAGACGCACGAGCTGGAATGTCCAAACATGCTTATTGGCATCGATCGGATTCGAATTCGGAAAGGGACACTATCTCCGCGTTCTTAGAGATATCACTCATGCATTCAGGTTTCAGCATAGCGCGGTGTGCGTTCACCTTCCCTTCCTATTCCGCCTCCTCGGTCTTCTCGCCTTCTTCTTTCCCTCCACCTCCACCTCGTTCTCTGGTTTCCTCCCAAGAGCGGAGCAAGTATCATGCTATTCATGCATGTACCTCGCGCTTGCTTCTCATCAGCATATATATATATATGTATATAATTATATATATAGCAAATGGTCGGTGAATCAAATGCTTAATCATCGCGCTCAGAACTCGTTATGGCAATGTGCATATAATTGCTAATTAATTATTAGGAATAAAAAATATTTGATTTTCTTCTAAAAATTAACTAAATGTGCTATTGTTTTCCGTTTCGTTAAAGAGTCGTTTTTTTCTCTGCGCATTACTCTGTTTGATAAAATGAACGCAAGTTACCCCCCCCTCCCAAACACACACATACACACACAAACACACACACACACACACACATACACACACATACACATACACGCAGTCTCTACTTAGCTGCTATCTCGCATGGTCTAACATCACTGCAGCGCTCATTCCTGGCTAAAAACGTTGATTTAAGATTTCGCATAATATATACTCACAATTAAGATCGTTGTTTGTCGTTTCATTTCATTCCGTGCGTTTCATGTCGTGACACCACCATACTATCCCGTTTGATTGCAGCATAATCGTGTGTTGTCAGTGATAACAGACGTGTTCGGTTCGTCGCTGCATCGTAAATCACTTTTTTTCTCAGTAGCGTTCATCGCTAGCTCAGCGTAAGCGTCCTGAGCTAAGTATGCAAACGCGATATCCAATATGATATTCCCTATGCGACCGTAGACGCAATTAGGGCTCCTTTCTTAAAAGTAATTTACGATGCAGTATATCTCTAGACTCTTGACGAAACCGTGTTGCCCTTATCTAATTTAGCCTTCGGTGTTCAGATGACGCTTTATAAGCGCGATCACTTCTCGGTAAAAACGCGCTCATTTGAATAATAACATAAACGAAATATTTATTTATAATCTCACGACGAATTTTTGCATCCTTTCGATGCTCGGGATTTCACAGAATGTATTCGTCTCGGGATAAGTGCAGTAATGAACTATAGCAGAACCTTCTAGAATCGATGCTTCATTCGCATATTTCCCTCTCCCGTACCCCCCCCCCCTGGAGGGAGTAGAGATGGGCGGTAAGTGTGCGACCGCGGCGCGGCGTCTAACACATGCGTTGCTTTCTATTGTCAGGACTACACGATTGATATCTATTTGCGCCAGGAGTGGCGCGACGAGCGGCTCCGACACTACAACGAGCGAGGCGAGCTCTACATTAACGACCAAACATTCCGCGATCGTCTCTGGAAGCCCGACCTGTTCTTCACGAACCTTAAGAAGGGACATTTTCAGGACATAACGGTCCCGAATTTCTACCTGCGCATAAAGCCCAAAACGGGAGACATCATTTATAGCTCGAGGTAACTATGTAATGTACCGGGTATGTATTGGGGAATGTTGTGTATTCGGTTTTGTGAGAGACTTGTAAGGGTTGTGATTGCAAAGAGTGTGACTTGTGGGGGTTATGACTTGGATTTGTAAAGATTGTATAAAGATTGTAATGTGTAAAATGTCTTGCGTGTTAAAGTTGTGACTGGCGACAGTTCAGGCCTGTAAACATTGTACCTTATCCGTAAAACATTAGTTGTAACGTTTCTGAATTGTAAGAGTTCTAATTGCAAAGTGTATGACATGTAATAGCTCGTAAACGCTCAAATTTGTGAACGATCGGGCGGCGTCCTGAAACTTTATCACACTCATTTCCAATGATGGAATACCTTCAGTTTTCAATCTTATATCGCTGCGCGGCTGTGTTTTGCGGTGTTGTTACTGTAAATAGGCTCACTGCTTTCTTCATCGCTCGCACAGCGATGCGTCTTTCAGAAGCCTTCCAGCGCGTATCCGCATCGCCCCGTGTTAGTCGAAGACGACGTTAATGTGACGCTAAAGCGCGGAAGCGTGCTTTCCAGCGGCCGGTGGTTTTAGACGCACAAATGCGCATTACTTCCGTGACGGTTGGTTGTCGTATGCTCGCGTGCTCACCCCAGCTCATTAGCCCTGCCCAAAAGATTTCGAATGCGTGCCAGGCATCGGCTCTTCAAGCTGTCATGAATCTACTTTGAGCATGAATTGTAATTCGAGGTGGCATCCTAAAACTTTACCTATAGGCACCGAGACACAATTTCGCTCGCACAAGAAAAGAATTCATCTTCGATAAAAGACCGACATGCTGAATTTGAATAGGTGGAGAGAGACGTGATCTAATATCCCTGTGCGGGCGATCTAATGAGAACACTTTAAATGCAGTGCGGCCATATCATTTGCTTTTATCCCACCGCCCATCGTTACAGTCCGCGTTTATAGCCAGGCTACATTTTCTCGCCAATCAAACGATGTCAAGATCTACGTACTATGATTGTCTGTAACACCGGAGGACACGCCGGAGAGTATTACGTATCTCCTGCATGCGACGACTTTTAAGAAGAGATGTCAATGCAAGCATCGGAGATGTTGAATTGTCGCGTAGATGCATGCAACAACTTCGACGAAGGATGAATGCCAAACAGCTCTGTCTTACCTATAGAAGCTGTTACTGCAGATGAGTAATTACACGTACTACGCATGCTCAGAGCAATCGACACCTAGCAGAAGCGGACAGAACTCGAGGAAAAATTTCGTGTAAATTGCGCCGTGTCTTTATCCGAGTATAACGTGACGTGCCGTGTAGTTAGCGTTCAATAGGCGATAAGACTATCACAGGAAACACGCAAATCTTGAAACAACAATTTGAAACAGCGGTGCTACATAATGCATGAGCTTCTAAGTCGTCGTCATTGTAGTCGTCGTCGTGACCGAGTACCCAACTCACTACGTTTTAGGCATATGGACCATTCACATGGGCAGCACTAGTCGGTTACTTGTAGCGCAACAGCATTGCTGTTTGGCGCAATTTTACCTCGTTTTAAATCTTCTGGTTACAAGTATTTTGCATTCATGACGGTCATGAACGAGGCAACGTTTTTACTACGTATACACGTGTAAGAATGAAAACACCTGAGGGAAATGCCTTTGAATATATCAAAAGTGAATATATAATTGCACGCGTGCGTGCGTACGTACGTATGCGTGCGCGCGCGTACGTAGGCACGTGGGCACGTGGGCACGTGTTTGTTGCGTGCTGTAGGCCTACGTTGTTCTTATGATTCGACCAATATTAATTGCTGAGATGTACGTCCACAATTTTACATCCACAAATGTACATCCACAATTTTAGATCATGTACTTTGACATTTACAGGCTATCGCTGACGCTATCTTGCTCTATGCAGTTATACAGTTATCCAATGGACATCCAGAATTGTTCAATGGACATGGAAAGTTGTAAGTTATTTTTGAAATGATTCGTCATGATTCTTACTTACCACGTACGCTTACGCGCGAATATTCAGATCGCACGACACGCCTCTCACTACATGTATGAATAGCACAATATTTTTGTTGCGTCTGCTGAATTAGACATTACGATGTGTATAGGAGTTTACAAGTGATGCTTTGCTGACTTGCGCCGATCTCCAGCACCCCGACCCTAGCAGTTGGAATACAGACATTGCATGTCCCTCTTACTAAAGCTGAAAACTGCATTGTTCCCGACTATATCTATTGCCAGCCATGATGCATACATTTTAAATAGCACGCAACTAAATATAACTACGTATTACTGTTTTACATGGTCAAACCTATTAAGCCATATCAAAAAGTCCCCGCCGCCATATTGAGATCAGATAATAAGGGGTATAAGTTACCTATATATAACATGGTTAGGATAGGACTAGTCTAGGTTTTGATCTATAATTCTCTTCAATAACACCGTACCTCAATTCACAGGTGCGTTTCTGTTTACAGATACATTTACAAATATGATTGTGGTAATTTGGGATATTTTGCAATGTTTGTGTTAATGCAAAAACTAAAAACGCACGAGTGTTTACATTAATCATGTACTTTCCTAAGCGCGCCTCGGCTATACCCCCTTTCATTATGACCTAAATAGCACAGCTGGACTTTCCGATATCACTTATATCAGGAGTAGATAATAGGGAAGGAGTGTGACTTCAATAAACAAAGGAAATTCGTCATTTACTAGCCTTATAATACCTCTACGATTTACTACGCGTAACTCATCCAACTTGAGCTCAAATCGTACACAGTACATTCGCCTATAGCATCGTGCGAAATCGTTTCCTCGTATACACCCGCAATCCGGAGATACAGACTAAAACGTACGACACGATTTTCCATTCTGTTGCCAGCAAACTCGATGCGTTCAGCGCCGAATTTGAAACAAAAGGCAGCTACTAACCACAGCTTGCTCTCTCGGCCAAGCGGTGTGGCTCGCAGGGAGATTGCAGCTGGAGCTGCTGCTGATTGCGGTGAACGTGCGTGCGTGCGTGGGAGGGCATACCAGCTGTATACCGGTACGCCGATATGCCGGTATGCCGATATGCCTGTATGCCGGTATGTAGCTGTATGCCAGGTGAAAGGTTATCGCGCGGAGTGTTGCGTCGATGTCCAATCTCCCTCGAGCCACACCACAGCCACACCGCCTGGCCGAGAGAGCAAGCTGTGGTTAGTAGCTGCCTTTTGTTTCAAATTCGGCGCTGAACGCATCGAGTTTGCTGACAACAGAATGGAAAATCGTGTCGTACGTTTTAGTCTGTATCTCCGGATTGCGGGTGTATACGAGGAAACGATTTCGCACGATGCTAAGCGAATGTACTGTGTACGATTTGAGCTTAAGTTGGATGAGTTACGCGTAGTAAATCGTAGGTATTATAAGGCGAGTAAATGACGAATTTCCCTTGTTTATTGAAGTCACACTCCTTCCCTATTATCTACTCTTGCTTATATCTCACTACACCACAACTAGATATGCATCGCAACGTCGCCCTAGCTAGCGGCAATTCACGTCACACGACGATAAGATTCCGCGCGTAATATAACAGGTGAGTATAGCAAATGACCATAAATAAACGAGCACATCCATGATGTCACGATGAGTGACGTACAGGTAAAAAAAAATTATAATTAAGTGCACAGGTGTCGCTCGTTGCTCGCGTCACTCGTCTCCCTCGTTTTCTTATCGCGATGTTTACATTATGCGAGCTTCGCTTCTCGTTTCGACTCGCAGACACGTTCACGACAGAGCAACTTAAGTTCGCGTGGAAGAGCGAGAAGGCCATACAGCTGATAGACAACCTGGTGATGCCACAGTTTAACCTGGACGACACCTATTCTTACGACTGCACATCAAATCTGTCCACGGGTAGGTGACAGCGGCTTACCAACGCCAATCATTGATATGTGAAATCCTTCCATGCAGGCACGCGTTGCGCTCGTTGCGTTGACACACGCCGCCGCGGAGTCTTCTAATTGCCTCATAATATACGCGACAACTTTCGTTTTTGACGCTATGTAGGTTGTCACGCGAGTTACGCCGCGATCGAGTTTCGTATCAGTGTCCTAATTTAAAGTTGTCGTCGGAGCGGAGAGCCGCGGCCTTCAGCAGCGGCGCCGCAAAGCTCAGCTTACGCGGAGCAATATTTCCCGATGCGCGTGGCGTTTTGTGGTTGCGGAGATTTATTACTCAATCATGATGTTAAAATGTGCTTTACTTGTAGAAATTACGGTGCGGCCGTGATTTACGATACACATATATATATGCACGATTTAGTGTTAGTAATGGGTCGAATTATATATCATTGTAGTACATAAAACTAACATGAACCGACAATGATCAAATCACAGTTTGTTTCACTTAAGTTCGCCCGAGAACGCATCCACACTCGCGATCATAGCCACACACGCAACCAAACGTGTGCGCGCACAGCTACGCATGCACGCACACTAGTAACCACGCGTACATCCGGCTCCGCATTTATACGTATTTACAGGAGAGTTTCCGTGTCTACGCGCCGTATTCATCTTGCGCAGGCAGTTCGGCTACCACCTGATCCAGAGCTACCTACCCACAGTGCTCATCGTCTTCATGTCGTGGGTCTCCTTCTGGCTGGACGTGGACGCTATTCCGGCCCGCGTTACCCTGGGAGTGACCACACTGCTGACGATGACTACGCTAGCCGGGGGAGTCCGGGTTTCTCTGCCGCCAGTGTCTTACATCAAAGCTATAGACGTACGTAGGGCGTCGCCGTCTGAACCGCCAATACTATCTCTAAAGAGAAAATTAAAGTCAAACCATTTACGGTTACGGTAATCAGAGCCATAGACCTACTCAGTGTGTTTACCGACAACACTATTTCTCTAGTAAATAACACATAAATATGAAAACAAAACAAAAAAAACAATATAAGCAAGTCGTACGAATGATAATAACGTCAAGCAGAGCCATAGATATACATAGTGCCCTAGCATATACCGTCAATATCAGCTTTCGAACAAAATCAAAGTCAAACGATTGATGGTGGCGGTTATTAAAGGTATCCTGGTTATAGACATACGTATAATGCATTACCTTATACTGCCAATACCTCTTGTCTGCTATAATGACTGGGCAAAAGATTGCAGTATTTACATTTATGCACATTATTTATTATTACGTTCGCTCTGAATCGCGGATTAGTTGCTCGTAGAATTTACTCGGCATGAAAATATCGTTATAGAATGTCAATATTAGTGAATCTATTGGAGCTCATTTGAATTGATATGGTGAGAATCTGTGCTTTTATGACTGCGGATTTTATTTAGCATCTATTCGATCGACACGTTAGCAGTGCGATGGAGACGTGTTAGGAAGCGTTGTCACCGACTGAGAATTATTCAGGAGGCGTCAACATTCGTGGTCGATGCGAATATTAATCGCCACTGCGTTCTCTGTCGTCTGCTAGTCTCCAACTTATTAATTCAGCGCCCATTTTCATTTTGCATGTTAGAGTTTTATCGATATTCTTATCGTTCTTGTTACGCGCCATTAAGCATTTATTGAGGATGTCATTAGTAGCCACCGTGGATGGTTTATTTATCGATTACTTCTTTATCACCTTCTTTATCACCGCGATTTCAGGAAAGACTATATATATATATATATATATATATATATATATATATATATATATATACGTAGTACATACGACGAGACACGAAGGTAGGAAG